GGATAAAGCCAGAGAGGCGGGAGGCGCTAGCCCAGTCACCCCCCCCCCCTCCCGGCCGGGCCCCCTTCCTGCCGCCCCCTTTCTGGGCCTCACTTTATGGGGCTCAGGGAGGCTGCATCGAGTCCTGGCCAGGGGCCTGCCCAGAGCAGGGGGCTGGGAGCCAGGACTCCTGGGTGCTGCTCTGGGCCCCGAGAGAGCAGTGCTGCCTAGTGAGCAGAGTGACAGCGCTGGAGCCAGGACTCCCTGCTCTGGGAGGGGAGCTGGGTCTAGTGGTTAGAGCTGGGGCTGGGTGCCAGGACTCCTGAGTTCTGTTGCTGTGCGGCTGCCCTGCGCCATGACCTGCCTGCCTGAGGTGGGCTGTTCATTCCTGAGCGTAGCAGGCTGGGGGCTCTTCCGGAGCCCGGCGTGCTCCCCCCCCTCTCCCCGCCTCGCTGGGTGTCCTGGCAGGGCCTGTAACGCCGCCCCCTCTGCTCAGGCTCCACCCCCCTGGACTTGTTTAAATTCTACGTGGAGGATCTCAAGGCTCGTTTCCATGACGAGAAGAAGATCATCAAGGACATCTTAAAGGTGAGGGCATGCAGCTGCCTCTGCCCATGGGGGAGGGGTCCTGTCTGACCTGCCCCCGTATGCCTGCTGCGTGGAGGGGGCCTTGGACAGGCCTGGCCTCACGTGCCCAAGCGCCAGGCCCCTGGTCTCTCTGCAGGTGCGCGTCACCTTTCGGAGGACTTGTGAATCCAGCGCCCCGAGCCCTAGGCTGGGGAGAGCTAAGCCAGCTCTGCTCATTTCATTCTGCCTCTGAAGCTCCCCTGCTTCGCACTGGACGCAGGCCTGTTCTTCGCATCCCGTCCTAAACAGCTGCCATGCCCCACCCCAGAGATGGCTGCATTTCAAGGCTAGGGAGACGTGAGCCCTCTGTATGTTCCGGGGGACGGAGACTCCCCCGAGGTCCTGTGTCCTGCTGAGCGCCTGGCCTCGCCCAGTTCTGGACCCTGCCGCTGTCGGCCCTGGGGGACAGGCCGGGCTAGGCCCCGGGTGAACCCGAGGATCGCGGCTTCAGCGTGGAGGTGAAGACGACCTTCGAGGACTTCGCCCACGTCATCAGCTTTGACAAGAGGGCGGCCACGCTGGACGCAGGCAACATCAAGCTGACCTTCAACAGCGTATGTGGGGCCAGGCGGGGCCGAGGCCGGGGCTCAGCGGGGCCCGTCCCCCGCGGCCTTAACCCTGCGGTGTCTCCCCACAGCTGCTGGAGAAGGCCGAGGCGCGGGAGCGGGAGCGGGAGAAGGAGGAAGCGCGCAAACTGCGTCGCCGCGAAGCAGCCTTCAAGAGCATGCTGAAGCAGGCCGCCCCGCCCCTGGAGCCCGGGTCCTCCC